TATGTGACACTTATTGCTATATATTGGCCAATTCACTCAATAACTACATAAATTAGTATATATATGTAATTATCATATATGAGCTATATTACTGTTAAATTTCATTAAAATCCATTCAGTATTTTTTTAGGTGAAAGAGTAACAAAGATCCATACAAACGTAAGATTGAAATTAAAAGCGTAAGTGGTTAATATACAACTTTAAAGCGTTGTAGATCCTAAACAATCATATAAAATGAAAAATTGTGTTGGGAACCTAAATATAATTTTTGATTACCTAGACAGTGATACCCCACTCGACATATTTTGTCAACTTTTTTTTTTACTTCGGCACAATATGGCGCCTAATTTTGCCCATATTGAATTTTGATTACTATCATATCTTTAGTAGCACTCCCATGATTGAGACGAATCGATTGATGTATGAATCATCAAAATTGGTCCAGGCGTTTGGTCTCTAGTGTGCCACAAAGGAACAAACATACATATATAGACTGTTAAACACATAACCCTGTCTGCGCGTCGCGCTTCGCGCTCTTGCATTGCGCAGCCGGGTAAAAATAGTTGTCAATTGGTGGTATAGTGTTTTAACTTCTCTCAAAATTATTTTTCAATGGAATAATTGAATGATTTTTACATAAATACCTACACTATGCATTATTTTTGCAATGAATTTCTTTTTCAAACGTATGTTAGGATAAAATACCCTCACAGTGGTATTGCTAGATTGCGGTATTAATACGAGTGGTAGGCCACCACGCCCGCCGCCCCAGTGCCGAATGTAAAAAAATATTTTTAACTTTTTTCCAACTGAGTGTTCCACGACTCACTCATTTTTTTTTAATTTATCCTTCTAATTTAAAATTTATACAAACGCAACGGATAAGCTTTAAATATCAACTTCGACTTATATATATTTATATTTGAAATATAATCTAAAGTTTAAGAGTATCAGTTTCCAGTAATGATTAATGAAAAAAATACTCAAAATTAATAATTGAAACCAACCCTTTTCCTCCTGTTACGAGTTCTCACACTGGTATTTCTCATAAAACATGCTTCGATATAAATTATATATTGGAATAGTTTTGCAAGTAGCACCTACTAAACTTCGTTATGTAAAGTACTGTGCGACTTCTGTGGTTTCATCACATTAGTAGCATTGCCTTGATACTTATTTAGTTTATTGCTTACCCCAACACTGCAGTCAATTACTGTTTTAAGCTAATAAATTATAATTTGAATCGGTATAAAGTTCGTCGTTAATGCGGAAACTATTTACTGAACTGTTTTTAATTTATAGTACAACTCAATAACACTTATATTGTAAATGTTATATCTTTTTTTATTGTTTAAGAATTTATTTGCTTAATGTTTAAATCTAAAGTAAATTTTACGCCCATAATTGGTCAGTGCGTCTGCACAGATTCCGCACTGCCTGAACCGCGTGGACTTTTTTCTAGTAAAATTTTCTTTACAAATGTATTTTTGTGTTTCTATGTTAGTTACTCAATCACGCAAAACGGCTGAATGGATTTGGATGTAATTTAACATGCATATACTCGTAGTTAGATAGTTTATTACCTGTATTGGGAGATAGAATACTTTTTTTCCGAAAAATGTTAGGCTCCTTAGGAATCCTAGTAATCTTATAAACCTTATTATAACCTTTAAAAACAAGGATAGACATAAACAGTGAGGATTGTGAAATGACCTCTTTTCAATTCTTCTACATTTATCATTCGCCATGTATGCAGACCCGTTAATTTTTGCAGCCTGTCATGAAGTCGACGATAAGAAAGTAATAAATGTATATAATCATTGATGTGTGACTGAAAACATCCATCTGATAAACAGCAATTTTGATGAAAATTTTACTAGAAAAACATCCTCGCAGTCCAGACAGCAGACGGGGCTCGAATCCGCACCACTACCCGGTCGGATACACTGACCAATATGTTCTTTAGATTTAAACATCTAGCAGGTAAATGCTTAACAATTAAAATATAAAAATTACTCATCATCATCAGCCTATTAATGTCCCCACTGCTGAGGCACAGGCCTTCCCTATGGATGGAACAGGGAGATTCAGCCATGACCCACCACGCGGGCCCAGTGCGGATTGGTGGGTGCTAACGACTGCATTTGCAGCCGAGACCAACGGCTTAACGTGCCTTCCGAAGTACGGAAGAGCTCGAGATAGTAATTTTTGGTCACTCATCCAATGACCGACCACTGCAAAAGTTGCTTAAGTTCAACGATCGCAGCCGAACCCGCTAATCACTTGCGCTATCGAGCTCCTCAAAAAAAAATACTCAAATAAAATGAATATGTAAAAAATATTAAGAAATTCTAGCCGAATCATAACAAATTTAGTCCCACACTAAGCAGATCTTGTACAAAGTGCCTGTGAACATGGTCATTCAAGAGAGGTAGATTTTCCGTTTCAATTGGAACGCCCGTCTGGGAGTAACCTCCGCCTTACAGAAAAATAACACTTCCTATTGGTGGGTTTGTGTTTTGTTGAGTTAGGTTCCAGGGCTCCACGGGGTAGAAGTTTGGGTCGAGGTAGGCAACGGTGCCAGTGATATTTTAGGTAGGCAAATGACTCTACCCCACCTGATGTTAAGTAGTGATAAAGTCCGAACGCGAAGATAGCTGGTACAGCAGCTATAAACTGCTACACCAACCATCCTCGCCTTGCCGGCCTGCAAAAATGCTTCTTCACGCCTCTCTTAAAGGACCCCAGATTATAGGAAGGTGGGAACTCGTGCGCGGGTCTTAGGCGCGGGTAAAGAATTTCACTTACGAAAAATACGACAAACAAATGAGTCAGATCACATAGGGTCTCATAGAGTCTATAGCCTATAGTGACCGCTACCATAAAGAAGGTCTGTGAGAGGTTGTTATTTAGAAACAAAATGGATGGGCATATTTAAGTTATTCCGCATAAATGTACAATCAAGAAACTTGTGCTGTTACCTAAGAACTGAAAGTTAAAGATAATGTTCCATTTCACGTCTTATTAAACTTTAAAAAACATTGAAAAAAGCAAGGATATGGCAGATTACGTTTCAAAGATTGTAAGTATTATCACTATGTTTTAATAGCGTCAATCATGTTAACTGCAACTGATAAACGCTAATGGTAGCTCAGCAGTATATAATGGTGCGAATATTTTTTAATCCCTCCATATTCTTTAGTTTCTGAACATGGATAGAGTATTTTATTGTTTATTCCTGATCATTTTGTGTGGAGATATAAATGGTACGATATTCAGCTTAAATAAATATATAAGAACCCAACTATCTACTGACAGCAAGTTTGTTAACGTAAACTTTAAAATTTGATCCTTAAAAATTTTAGCCGCGATGAACGTGCATTGACATCTTAAATTGTTAAATCCAGGATATGAAATCATATCCAATATTATAAAATTTAGTTTTTTCTTATATATTCCTGAAGGAGCAGTCAGGACCAAGGATTGGTCGGTTATTACCTTTGGTTTTTAACAGATCAACCTAGTGGAAAAGATGCATGGTTGGGTATATTTATTCCTAACTGGCCACCCAGGTGGACAAATCAGCGGGTCGGTACGGAACGCAGGAATCATCGCGGGAATAATAAGCTTTAGTATTTTTGGAAACCTTCAACTTTCTCTATTTGTGGCTCTGTATATATATACAATTAGTTAACACAAAATACATTTTATAAATGATTATGAGGTCGGTCCATCTTGCGGGTGATCGGCCGCCAGAACATACCAGAACCGATACTCCCCTTATTCTAATAAGCTTTCTATGCAGATAATATGTGCCAGTTTCTTAAAAAAAATCAAAGATTCGTGAATAGTCAAAGTTGTTTGAGAATAGTCTCGATCGTTTCTAGAACGTTAGAAAATGTTTCCAAATACAATCCTTACGATTTCGTTACTATTGTTGAAGATGAACAAAGGAGATAGGGAAGCCAAATCCGATTGAGATCATTTGTGAATAACATGGTTGATTCCACTTATACGCATGACGCTGCATTTTTTCTAAGCCTGTAGTTCGACCGGCCTTCTCTCACTACAATGAACAGAGCTTATAATATTGTAAAGAAAGGAAAAGTCCTACGTAAAATGTTATGAAATACTGATGATGATATCCTTTTTATTCTGTTTATTTTTTTCTTTAATGCCTACCTAAGGCTGTATCACATCAGTATTTTATGATTTATATTATTCAAGCGCAAGACCCAGTACCTAATGTTGTAAATAATAAACAATAGAATTGAAACGATATTCAGTGACATATCTATAAAAAGAGGTAGGTTATAACGGATTTCTCGCTCGATTTAAGCGCCCATCTGGAGAAGTAACCTCCAACCTACAGAAGAGCACAGTAAAATACGAATACCTTTTAGTGCTGTTGTGTTTCATCTGGTGAGTTAAGTGTCAGGGCTCCATGGGATTTCCTGGGGGAGGACGGGCTCGCATTGCACAAGCTCTCTGGATGCTTATGCCCCTGATACTCCGGGGCATCTTCATCGGGGCGGGTCCAGCAATGGACAAACACCGGCGGATGCGTGGTCAATTGGAGATCAGGTGCCACGATTACATCCGCACTCTCGACACGCATTAGGAGGACTAAGGTCCTCTGAATGCGTGTCGTGTGACCGGTGCAGGGGTATTGTCTGGTTTTTAGTGGCCCTGTTCAGGGCGTAGGTAGTGCCCTGCACATATCATCGAGGTCGAGGGCTGGGTGAAATGAGCAGGGAGGAGTCCAACATACCTTCTTCTCGCTCCCCCGGTGTTTGAAGGATGCATAAAGCATTTTCCAGACAAAAAAAAGGGCCCCATGGGATTGGGTCGGTGTAGGTGAGTCTATAAACTATGGTGGTCGCATATGCTTGTTAACTTAAAAAGCCATCATTTTTAACACGCATTGTCATGTTATTTCTGTAAAAATCTGTAATGTTATAACTGGTGTTAGCTATATCTAATTGATTTTCTCCATTCAGGTGTCATAAGTAAGAAGCACGGAAGTCATCAGTCGCAATCCAACAATGGGAATAAGATCGTGGGTGGTAGCGAAGTTTCCATTCAGGACGTGCCTTATCAAGTTCTTTTGAGGATACAGACGTTAGAATACATAGGCCTGTGTGGTGGCTCAATCATCAGCTCAAGAGTAATTTTAACCGCTGCACATTGCCTTTCTGGAGGGTACGGGTTTTGCAATATATTTTAACAATACGATGTTAATGTATGTGAAGGACATACTTTAGCGTTTTCTATACCTAAACCATTCAAAACTATAAAGATATGTGTGTGTGTATATACTGTACCTATCTGGGATGAGTGTATGTGTACTTTAAATTATTCATTATAATTAATTAGCTTGATATTATATATACCTACCGAAGTTTAACAATATCAGCGATCGAATGACTAAGATTTGCCCTTTTAGTTTTTCCTTTTTTCAAAGCTTACGTTAAGCCATTTCATTCATCCGCAGTGGAGTCTGTACTGACAGATATGTACTGGATTCGTTTCGTTAGTTATGAGTCGTTTTTCATAAGTCAATTCGTCTTCAAAGAATGCTAAGCGTCCCTTACCAACACCATGTCAAAACGGTGATGATAAGGGATAGCCAACTTACTATATAATATATAAATAGTATTTACTAAGTAGTAGTTTTTAAGAGAGGTAGGGCACAGCGAATTTACCTCTCGAATTGGAGCGCCCGTCTGGGGAAGCAACGTCCACCTTACAGAAGACGACAGTAAAACAACACTACCTTTTGGTGGTGTTGTGTATCTGCTGCTGAGTAGGGTTCCAGGGCTCCACGAGGTGGGAAATTGGGTTCAGAAAGGCAAGGTGAGGATGACTGGAGCGGCACACTTTCTACCGCATCATCTATCCTCACAACTAGGCTTTACTTGCACTTAACATCAGGTGGAACCTAATTTGTTCGCGCCTCGTATAAAAAAGAAAAAAGTCAGTAACCAGCCTAGCCTGTTGAAACTTGTGACATCCTATGAGGTGTCGATCAGAATGCTTACTACCATCTACAAAAAAGCGATCAGATCTGAAAAGGGTCTGACAAATGTTTAGTTTCCAATTGAAAATAAAATACTTAACCGCCGTTTCTTATTACAGTGTCGTAGAGATCACTATCAGAGCAGGAAGTTCGGATTCTGAAAACGGTGGTAAGGTCTACACGACGTCCCGGTACAGAATCCATCCACAGTACAACCACAACACGTTTGACTACGACGTAGGCATCGTAAGGACACTGCGGGCTATGACCTTGGACGGAGTAAACACCAAAGCTGTGGCTTTGCCTGCTGAAGGTACTGAAGTTCCAGCGGGAACAAATGTTCTGGTATCGGGATGGGGAGATACTGAGGTAAGTTTTTCAATCAATGGCGATTCTATAAAAGCTTAAAAAAATATGTCAAGTACATACTGGAGTCAAACCATATTAAAAGTATTAAACATAGATGCTTAAAATGTTAGTTTCCATTCTAAAGAACGTTAAAAATATTATTTTTTTATATATTTTAGAGAGCAAAGGTGGATAAAATATTGTTGAACAATCATAGACAACTGGTATTCAATATTTGATATTTAAACAAATGACGGCACTACCTAAGCAGCCTAATTTGAAACTCCGAACATATAACCTGTGATTATATAGCCGTAAAGCTGTTGGTTGATAGTTGAGTTGAGGTCAACACGGTTTTCCTTTTTGAAGTTATACTTCTTTAGGCGCGTTATGAAAAAATGATGAGAGTGAAATTTTAAGATGCGCGCGCATCACTGTAACACAGTCGCTAAAGCGACCAACTTCATGCTGTTACTTTTGTGCTTACCTCACATTAAGAAAATCTATCAACAAAATAGAAATAGAATCTCTATTTAGTGGGTGCTAACGACTGCATTGTGAAGGCCTATCAAAAGTATTTATTAATCTGGAACAACGGAACCAAAGCGCGATTCAGGAGACCACAGTGCCATCTCTTGACCATTGGTGTAGTAGAACCAAAAACCACATCTTTATTTTTTGTAATAAAGTAACAGTTATAGGTATTCATATTTATAATATCAAAAGTATTTATTAATCTGGAAGAACGGAACCAAAGCGCGATTCAGGAGACTACAGCGCCATCTCTTGACCATTGGTGTAGTAGAACCAAAAACCACATCTTTATTTTTTGTAATAAAGTAACAGTTATAGGTATTCATATTTATAATATTTATCCACATGTTTCTAGTTTGTATATTCGGAATACGTGTTTGAGTTTCATACAAGTGCAAATCACATATGTTCTAATAAATTATATTCAGTAGCGGTTTTAATTGAATATTTTGATTATTTATTTATTTTTTCAAATTAAAACTGAATTTTATTGACTGTGTCCTTTTCCAGACTTTTTATTAATTTATTGTAATTAATTATTTGCATGCAATTAAGAACTAATTTTAAACGATGCCAAAGGAGGATAACTTCTCACGCGCCTACATAAGTACACGCATCCATTTTTTTTGTTTAAATCAGGTTTTTGGCGAGATGGTTCCACAATAATAAGGAATAGGTCTGATCAGTACTTTCGTTGAAAACAATAAAACGTGTTTGATTATTTCAGAGATATGCAAGGGATAATGTAGGCCAGGTTCCTATACTTAGTTAGTTAATGTAAGTCTGGTTTATAAAAAGTGAATAAAAAAAAATTAAAACAGAAATAAAAACCGTCTTGATAAAAACAAAATCACTTTAAAGTATATATAATTATTCTTTACTTATATCTAAAGTACATTTAAATTTTGCCATGGTATCGACACCTAAATATGTTAATGTGACTTTAAATGTAGGTCAGATATAAGTACAGAATATGTATAATTTCTTACCGTACAGTGGCTTTATTTTTATGAAGTCGGTTTTTATTTTTGCTTACATATTTTTTATCTTTTTTATTCGAGTTTAATGAGGAGTCGTCTAAAAATGTAATTGTATTTTACTTGGAACCAGGATTTAGAAACGAATTCTCTCTATTATGTTCATATATTTTCCTTATCCTACCGTCTCTACAACTCTAAAAAACTGAAGGCCTGACGTTGCCTGTAAAGTCGGTTTTACGGGCGAAGATTTTACGTGACAACGTCTTTTTCTCGGTAGAATATTTATTGATATGAATATAATTAAATTGCACAATAGGAACAAGGAATTGAATGAAAATAAGAATTGCACAAATTTTAACTATAGAAATATATTTTGTTTACTAAAACATTGTACATGTAAACTTAAACTTAACACGAGAGACTCATCGTAACGTTACCGAGCGTTACACTTTTTCATAAGTGACTCCCAGCCGCAACCTAATTTAAGACGTTGTCACGTCAAAATATATTACTTGTCACATCAGGTTCTGGATAACAGATCATTGATTGCGGACTACGCCAATGACGAAGAAAACAATTTCGTTTTTACTATCAAGTAAAATAGGCAGGTTTTAAAATTATAAATTAATTTAAATAAAACTTTAAGGTTAAGGGGAAAACCAGCCAGCAATTACTTGCAGTCAAGGTACCCACAGTTTCCACAGAAGATTGCCGTCAGACCTACGCCCAATTGACTGAACGCATGTTTTGCGCTGGCACTCCTGAAGGGGGCAAGGATTCTTGCCAGGTTTGTAATAAACTTCTCAAACGTGCGTTGAAAATTTGAGCATTATTTTGACAACCTGCTTCGAGATAAATGGAAATTGCTGAACTAGCCAAATACATGCGAGCAGCTACCAGCAAAAGTTGTACGAAAATCCATATCTGTCGTGGTTTAGCCGCTAAATAAAAACATAGCAAACTCATATCTGTCGTGCAATTTAAAAATGGAATGAGAAATTGTTTGAAAAATCTATTAGGCCTTGGCCACAACTAGGCATTGATGGACTTACGTATGTGTGCCTTAGTTAAAACTCTGTCCACATTTAGACGTTCATCCATCAATGCCTCTTTTTCTGGCCGCTGCAGCTATACTATAATTACTTAAGATTTCATACCTAATTAGATTTTTTTTCTCTTATGAATGAAGAGTGACTTTGGACACAGATAACATCTTTGGAGTACCTTCCATCATCATCTATCCACTAATGTCGCAATTCTGGGGTTTGAGCCTTTCCTTTAGACTAAATATCAGTTGTGGAAAACGGCCTATAACCAATCACGCAAACCCAGTGTGAATTGATGAAATTGAATGAAAGGGAAAATTACGTCTTGTCAAATAATTTTTGTTCACAGTTTTCGAATAATCTAAGCAATATGAGAAATTACAGTGGTGATCGTAGCATTTTTCTACTATCAGCAAACATTTTTTTTACGAACAACTTTATTACCTCAAAAAAGTTAGTTGCGTTCAACACGAAAAAAATGTCATCAAATTTGTCCAAACAAGGTTCAAAACAAACAACTTTAAAAAAAACCGTCATAGTTTATTTTATATATTTTATATTGCTTATCCCATTCTTTGCACATTTTTGTTATACTTATTTAACATTATGTGATGAAAGTTGACCTCAATACAAGTTTATATTAATGATGTCATCTTTCAAATTGACGACACTGTAAGAAAATAGTTTTATTTCATAGGAAGAAATAGGGAGAAAAATGCAGCCCTTGTTCCTTGCCGGTTTTGCTCAGTACAAGGTCTCTTGCTATAGATGTACTAACCGGATGGCATAGCATTCGACTTTCTCATATGCTTGTAAGCCTGAGCTGAATAAATTAATTTTAAATTTGAATATTGGAAATTTATTTATGATTATCTTTCTTAGGGTGACTCTGGGGGTCCAGCGGTTGATGTGAATTCTGGAGTGCAGATCGGCATAGTGTCCTATGGGAATGGCTGTGCTCGCCCAGGTGTTCCAGGTGTGTATACGAACATATCCAGCATTCGGATTTGGATCAAGAACAACGCAGGCGTTTAATTTATTAATATGAAAATTGTATCAAACAGAAATAATGTAACCGTTTTACGCTAACATGAAAAAAAATGTTTAAAATAAAAGCACTGTTAACTATAGTTCTTTGTTATTAACCGATGGTTCTAAGTCGACGCGTAGATATTTTTTCTTATGTATGACCAGGCGTCACTTTTTACACAGTAGTCCGAAGTTGGCTCCATATAAATTTGGAAAAAACATGCACCCTTAAGGGTGAGAAAACAGGGGATGATTGATTGTTCACTTACTGATTGTAATGTATGACCACGCATAACTTTTTACAGAGTAGTTTGATTCTTTTTTTGTTGGATTGTATACCTCTATCACATAGTAGGTATATCACCATATTGGTCCCAGATAAATTTGGAAACAAATATCCTAAACTATGTGTGGAAAAATAGGGGCGATTATTCACTCACACTCACAGGCTCAACTCTCTTTCTCCGAAACGAAATTTCGGTAACGAACGAATTTTAAACGAAATTTCGCCAATAACTCTACTCTATTTGATTTTCGAACACGCACATTAAGTTCGGAATCACAGACAATTTTCGTGACCGAATGGAATGAGTCATGTTTGTGAGTTCTTTTATCTCCACTTTTCAGATTACCTGGTTTACTTGGAAATAATATTACTTACTGCAAAATTTTTGATGACATTAAAAGAACCTTCTTTGACAGTGTTAGCCGACTAATATGTAGAGTTCTACACTTCATTATATGTCAACCTAGTCGTTTAATACTTTGAAGTATTGGAAATACAATAATTAATTAAAATTTGGTGTATTTGTTAATTTGACATGCTAAAAAATGTTCCTCATGCTAAGCAGCCTTGATTAAAAATACTCTAGCAGTCACTTTAGGCTTAATTTAAACAAAAATTCCAAAACAAAAATGAAAAGGTAACACTTTTTATTTCGTCAGTTTCAGATTAAAATTTCGAACAAGTGTATGTCAAATTCAACTTTTAGTTTAAAACTTTTGTGAATTAGAGTAGCCTTGGAGAATTTAATTTTCAAACTATTTTCGGACGAACGAATTTTCGAAATGAAAAGGAAACAAAGGAAGAAACGTGCGAAATTTCGACCGAAATTTAATTTTTCGTTGAAATAGAGTAGGCCTCCAGATGCTGAGTTGTATATTACAAAACTTATAGCCAAAAAAAATTAAAATAAAAACATTTTAACGTAAAATTTAAACAGCAAAAAAACCTAATAGCAACCCTTTTTTATCTTTAGTCAAACTAACATAATAAATCGGTATCATGCATGTATACCCATAGATCTGTGTACCCATTTACTACATGCGGTTGGTTTGGCAACGACACCAGATATAAATTTTACTAAAGATAAAAAACTTTTATTATTATTTGCATTTCAGTTTTTACGGCGCTTTAATGTTTTTGTTAAAGTTTCAATATTATTGGTTTATTAACATCATCAGCTTATTCACGTCCTTACTGCTGTCTACATCCATGGTTTAAAACTACTATAAAATATTCTGAAACAGTCAGCTTATTGCCAACATTAAAACATGCAAATAACAATAATATCTATTTATATAAAACTCAAAGGTGACTGACTGTCATAGTGATCTATCAATGCACAGCCCAAACCACTGGATGGATCGGGCTGAAATTTGGCATGCAGGTAGATGTTATGACGTAGGCATCCGCTAAGAAAGGATTGTGATCAATTCTACCCCCAAGGGGATAAAATAGGGAATGAAAGTTTGTATGAAACTTTGTCAATTTGAAACCGATCGGGCTGAGATTTTAAATACAGGTATAAGAAGAATCATTGACATTCATCTTTGTGTATAATACAAGCCAGAGGACTAAAACTGTAGTCTACACTTCAGCTCTACACCGAAGCGAAGCGAGGGCGGGCCGCTATTTAATAAATTTTCTTCCACAATCTAAAGTACATATATAATCACAATGATTATAAATTAAGTAAATAATAAACAAACGTATGATTGTGAGAGACTGGTACGGCAATTCTTTATTATTTACCTGAACTAGCAACTTTCGCAGTGGTCGGTCATTGGATGGGTAATCAGAAATCTTCTATCTCAAGTTCCTCCGTGCTTCGGAAGACACGTTAAGCCGCTGGGCTCGGCTGCATTTTTGATCGTTAGCACCTGCCAATCCGCACTGGGCAATCACCCTATTCCATCCATAGGGAAGGCCTGTGTCCCAGCAGTAGGGACATTATTAGGCTGATGATGACCCCTCATTATACAACAGTTGCAGAAATAACTATTATGAATGGAAAGGGAAAATAGGGATGACGTCTATTTTTTTCGTCTATCAGGTAGATTATCAAAAAGTATAGGACACGTATTTTTTCTTTATTCACATAAGCAAAACATTACAGGGATATACTGATTTAAAATATCGGAATACGTCACGTTTTGGTAAAATTTTTACTTAAAAGTGGCGTCACGAGCCCCCACCCCCAAACTTTGATGCGCTTTATCTTTGTCATATTTTGGTTGATTGACCAAAAAAAAATACGTGTCCATTACTTTTTGCTTAATGTAACTGGCGGACTAAATAGAATTTCGTTTACTTTAGCCCGTCGTCACCCATTTAGCTCATGATTCATCACGCGGGCCCAGTGCAGATTGCTGAGTGATGCAGCGGCTTACCGTGACCTCCGTAGCACGGGTGTTCAATATAATTATTGTTTTGTCATCCACACTGAGACTGATCATTACGAAAGTTGCTCAACTTCTATGGTCGCAGACCGAATTTATTAATTACCCTTGCGATTCTTTATATTATTTCCTTCGTCCTTTTACTTCATATTATAATTTCCATTTATTTTCGAAAATTGGAAGTTGGTTTTATTTACATCTTTTCAGTACCCTTAGCACGAACCAATATCGAATTCATATCAATTGCGAGTCTGAAATGTCATTGTCAAATGTGTACTGATTTTGAGTTCTCGTTAATTATACAATACAAAATTTGACATTACGCCACAGAAAGAAGAAAAAAAAATTTTGACTTTGACATTTCGGTTTGCAAACTATTCGTATTCGATATTGGTTCGTGCTAAGGGTACATAATAAATTTAGCCCTGTAGAAGTTCAAGCTCGTTTTTGTGTTTTTTTCAATTTGAAAAACACACAACAACCCAACTAACTTCTAGAAGAAACAAACTTCAGAGAAATGAAAAATATTATCTCGCATCCACGCAACCAACGTAAGTGATGGCAGCGAAACTTTTCTTTAAATGACAAAACTCACAATGAATACTAACGGAATCCCTTAGCATTTAAATGAACGGGAGACCTGCGAAGTTCCTGTGTTGTTGAAACTTTTTTAATTTTGTCGGCGAGGAGGGCAGGTGTAGGTACGCGTCCGTACGTCAGTATCAATTCGACAGACAATCCCACCCCACCTGGCCGCTGCGATAAGACGACCCATCCGAGAAATGTAATCGTCTCTTTTAATTGAGTTTTAGCTGATTATCAGAGAGCCAGTGAGTGATTTATTATTATACTTTTGCTGTTTAATACCTAAATCTTAGTCTCCCATGCTAGGAGTCTAGATAGACTCTATTCTTAAAATCGATGTATCGTAAATTTTGTCAAGTCGTTCCGTACTCTACGGTATTAGAAACTATACGAGTTAGAAGAAGATGGACGACGATAACGATGATGATCACAATATATCAAAGCCAATTTTAAGGATAAGGCCCTACGCTGGAAAGAAAATGATATTTCTTCCGAGTTGCCATACGTTCGGTTCTATGCCACCAATCCCCAAAGAATATTTACATCGTGAATGGAACTTAGGTAAGTATATTTATAATGCCGCAACTATCAATCCCAATAAATTTAATTTAGATATTATTATTAATTCTTATATTTGTTAGTTGTCTTATCTCAGTTTCATTAATAAAAATGTACCCGTTCGAAGCCGGGCGGGCAGATATCAACTAGATATCGGGTAGTTATTATAAGTATTCATTTGCTCCTTGTTTTCTACAAAATTACCAGTGAAAAGTTTCAACATTTTATAAGTTTTACTCCAGAACAATAGACCCTGTTTCGTAACAGGGTAATATTAGCGCTTATCGAGAAATTAATAAATTAAAATAAAATATAAAAATACCGATCTAACGAGACTGAGCTAAAGCCGGGTACTCATTAGCGAGCTGTAACCGTTGCATGCACTGTAACCAAAAAGTATAGTGTGAATGTGGTTCGCTACCCTGCTGCGAGCGGTACGCACTCACGCATTACTTACATTATGGTTACAGCTCGCTAATGAGTACCTGGCTTTAGGAAACTCAGACAACTGCAAGCTTAACTACCGTCAAGCGATTGCACCGCTGCACTGCCACTCCCGTGCTGCGGCGTGAACGCTGGATCTCCAACTGACGCAAGCGCCGCTGAAATTTCAATAACGCGCAGTTATTACTGCGCTGTATTCGATTTTCTATAGCGGAGACGTCGTGCTAAGGACAAGCGCTATCTACGCTGCTTTAAGGAAGGATGCAAAGAAGTAATACAGCTAAAAGATTGTTTATGACCTGTTGTTTATGCAAACTCAATTTTGATATTGAAAATCTTTGCGGCTGCTTTAAGTTTGCTTCCGATAAAACTTGGAATGATTTACCATCACCCATTCACAAATTTTCATTTTATCACTCGCTCTACTTACCATTTTCATCAATATCGTCGTTAATGGTTGCTTACACAGCAGACTCGAGAGCTGGGTTTTGTTTAAGAATGAATGCTTATATTATGAATTAGCGGCCCTTCCGGTCTTTGCACGGCTGGGATTTGTTTTAACGGGATATGTATGATGTATTTCAGAAGGAATGTAGCTAGCTACACGTGAAGGGTTTATTTAATATACCTAAAAAATTATCACTTTGTATAACTATAACTTATGTATATTACGAATGGTACTCCGTAGCTGTGAAATGTTGTTATGCCTTAAAATATTTTGTGTTGTGTCTTCATAGGAGATCACAATAGTGTTATTTGGAAAGCTTGTGGTTGTGACAGAATAACAGAGACTGAGCTCTCCGTGGTCACTGAGT